AAGCTTACAAGTCTGCTCGGTGTTCGCATCAATTGCAGACTTGTACACCTCGCGTTCACGGGCCAGCTTCTTGTTCAACGTGGCGACAAATGCGTCCCGATCTTGAACCTCGCAGTGCAGACGATTCAAGTCTTCTGAATGTCGCTCCATGGTGGCCTGAACACTTGCAAGCATGGCGTCGGCCTTGGCGTTCGCCTCGCGGAGAATCTTGACGTCCTTGTAAAGGGCTTCGATTTTAGTGTTGACAGCCTTGAGGAACGCCTCCGCGTTCTCCCGAGCCATGATTTTGGGTGCCACTGAACGTACGGCGGCAGCAGCTCGGTCTGGGCGGCCCGCAACTGACGCTCCAAGCTGGCTACCCGGCCAGGTAATGCCGACAGCGCGTCAGGAAGCGGCAGTACAGCAGCGAGGACATCGTCGAAACCAACGGCGGTCTCGAGGCGACGTTGAGTGTGGACATCGCCGTGAAGAGGTGGCGCAACGCTGAGCTGCACTTGGTGACGAGCCATGAGCCATCGCAGTCAAGTACGGAATTATCGAGGTCATCATGTGATCGACCGATGCCTCCGTACTTTCAGCCAGCATGGTGCGCAGCGAATCCTCACTGAGTGGTGGTGGACCACCAACAGGCGCAGGAGGAGCAGCAGGAGCCATCTCTGCGGATTCAGCGACGACAGGAAGTGCTGCAGGAGCTGCCGCAGGGGGTGAAGAGCCCGGTTCAGGAAGCGCCGGGGGACCAGCTGATGTGCTGCTGTAAGGGGAGGTGTAGCAGACTGAGGGGCGTTCGAACCCTCGGTCTTGCCCTCCTAAGAAACAAAACGAGTAATGCATGGTGATGAGCAAGGCGCCGATGATTCAAGAAAAGGATGAGCTGACGTACCTCCAGCTGTTCACTTCGCGACGTCGACAAGGATGAGACGCTGAAACGCGTCGGACACGGCTCGATTCAGACGCTTGGACATACGGTGACTGGACGGTGAATTGTAGAATGAATAAATGTCACAAGGGGCACCAGTACCGTGGCTTCCATTGCGACAGGGGCAGCTGTGGTGTAGTGATTTCTCCGTAGTTGCGGATTATCACCCGTCGACAAAGACGTGACACCGCCCAAGATGTTCAAGCGACGAACCCTCGGTCATGTGATGTACGGAGACGCCAAGGTGCAAGAGACTCGACGGCGTCAGTACCGAACTCTCAACGGATATTGGATACGGTCCATATGTCACTGAATCCACTGTTCTTATTATTAATAATGGACTGGCCGGATTCGCATTCAGCGGCCAAGAGCTGACCATCTACGGTACAAACCCTCGGTGGCGGTTGGGATGAGTTCGCGGAAGACTCAGCGACCCTTGGAAGGCACGTTCACCGTATGGGGCAGGGCGCGGACCGCTAAAGATGCTCATGCGACGGAGCAGACGACGCTTGGCATGCAAGAAGATCCATAACGGATCATTGTTCACTTGATATTTGTATGCTTGATTAGGACTTCTTATTAGGAATAGACCCGAAAGGGTAAACATAAATACAGAACAGAATTTTCACTCAAGCACACAGAGCGACGTCCGGCTTCAAGGTAAGCAGCTGGCCAAGCTTGTTTGAGTGTGTTATGCCTGTCGGTGAACTTGAAGTTCTGTACCGAGGGTTCATCCGGCAAGGCCAAGAGACTGTGTATTTTGGCCGATTACTATCGGGAGGTTTTACGTGACGGCTTATTGTTGCCTAATTGCACAGCTGGGAGCGCATGTATTACATCCCTTTTATTCTTCCAACCGAGTGTTGAACACTCGGTGACCTCGTAAAAGGCTCACCCGTGCCTGGTACGCTTCCGCTGTTGGGACCACGAGGATTCATAACACCTATTAGCTTTGCTCGTGCTAGTAGCGAGTTCTTATTTTTACTGGCTGGCCTATATAAGTAGTTTACAAGGTCCAGTTTGTCCCGGTGCAAGGGCAGAACTAGGGTCTTCAGGTCCGCCCGAACGATCGTTTACTATCCTAGTAGACGTATTGTTGTGGGAACATCCTAACTACATTTGTAGCTAGAGGTCACGTGGGAATTCCAGCACCCTGACTTAGCCGACGACCGGGTACGGGCCGTGCCAGGAGAACGCCAGTTTCCTGGTCCGGCGTTCCCCAGCGCGCGCTCGGAAAGACTGATACACCCAAACAGCATCTCCTTCATCATGAGACACGTTCAGTTGTTTGTCAAGCCGCTGTTCGTGCCGGTCCTGAGCCTTGGACACTTGCTTTTCCGCGAGGCGTCGTGAGTCTCGCATTGAAAGATAGAGTTTACTCCGACACACCGCAGCTTCATCACTCTTTAATACTTGCCAAGTCAATCGGTAATAGTCACGCCCATACAAGCTGAAGAACGGTGTGTCTCCGAGTCCCTCGTGGTAAGCCGTTCTATAGGCAAAGAGGAATCGAGGCAAGTACACGTCCCGATCAGACTGTGTCTCGTTCACCAGCATTCTTAACATCCTCATCAGTGTTTCGTTGCATCGCTCTACGAGGCCCTGTGTTTGTGGGTGGTAGGCAGCGCCATACAGCTTCTTAATATCCAGCGTCTGATATAGCGACTTAGCCAAATCCGACGCAAAGTTCGAAGCTCTGTAGGGTACCAGGCATGGGTAAGCCTTTTTACGAGGACGCCGAGTGTTCAACACTCGGTTGGAAGAATAAAAGGGATGCGATACAAGCAATCCCAGTCGTGCGAATAGGCAACAATAAGCCGTCACGTAGAATCTGCCGATAGTAATCGACCAAACACACAGTCTCTTGGCCTTGCCGGATGCTGTTGGGACCACGAGGATTCATAACACCTATTAGCTTTGCTCGTGCTAGTAGCGTGTTCTTATTTTTACTGGTTAGCCTATATAAGTAGTTTACAAGGTCCAGTCTGTCCCGGTGCAAGGGAAGAACTAAGGTCTTCAGGTCCGCCCGAACGACCGTTTGCTATCCTAGCAGACGTATTGTTGTAGGAACGTCCTAATTATATTTGTAGCTACAGTTCATGTGGGAATTCCAACACCACATACAATAGTTTCTCATCGGTAGCAGTGTTGACGACGATTGCGCACCAGTGATCCCGCTACAGTTGAACGGGATAAGAATCTGTGAGCTGGATACTTTATTTAATACAACACGTAGCGCATCTCGATCCATTCTGATGCTGTCATTTCTGACGATGCTCACAGTAGTTGGGCTGACCATCACTACCATAACGTCCGTTCTAATTTTTTTTGCATGGCAGTCCACATAGTTGTGTATTCGAGAGATCCTTACGCAGCAACATCGAGCACATTTATCTAGACAGTCGTAAATACGCAATAATGTTAGCCTAAATAATTTGTGGAAGATAAGTTTAGGAAAAAAATGATACGTGCCTGCTCGAACAGAAGCGGCATTGATTTCCGCTTCGCAGGAAATTTTCGGTTTCAACGTGTAACGTCCACCGAGAAGATCCAATGCAACACTCGTTTAACAGGCCTAACGGCAATCAGTGCCCGATGCCACTGCCTTAATATTGAGAGTGTGCATGGCATAAAAATGCCTACACCAATCACCTCAATTGCAATGTACTTAGCGTGTTCACAGTTTTGAGCACCTCATCCTCAATGGCGGTTCGATTTGATACATTCTGCTCGTACGCCCGCTGGTTAAGGTTATGGGAATGCTCCAAGTTACTTTTCGTGAAGAAGAGTGCAAAAGCGCTCTTACTTTTATCTGCGATACAAACGCAGACGTTAACCTATTAACACGCACAAAATAGCGCACAACACGAATTAATCACTAGGCTTACAATGTAGTCATTAATACCCAAGTGAATCAGTACCCGACTCGACCCAGCTGATGCCCGACTGACACCCGACTGACAAAATACGTACCGAAGCCTCGCAGCCCATGGACCTTGTTTCCTGGCGTGGTCGCTTCCCTTGCCCTCGCGACTTGTATGCGCCAGTATGCGTACATATTAGCTTATGAGAATAGTTATCCCACTCCGGCGGAATCAGCGACGCACTCGAGTTTGTTGATTGGATTTTCTTGTTCCGGTCCCAAAATTTATTAATGGTTCGAATGCGAAAAAGCTAAATGAACGAAGCATAAATATCTATCCACCTTTAAATAAACTGTCCGATGGTGAAACATACATACCTGGTAGTTATTTCTTTGATACTCCTTGAAATAGACGTCGAACTGTTCCCACGACTCAAAGCACATGTGCGTGAGAGGTGGCCCCAGCACAGTTCGGCCAGACCCGTTACTGAAGCTGCTTGACAGCTGAATGGTGCTATCATCAATTGAAACGTCCCTTTGCTCATGAGAGTCTCTCACATCGCGACGGTCAACGTTGCTCTGATTACTCTGGTCGCTTTGGTTATTCGAGGCACTCGGCTCGCACCGCTTCCTCCCTACCTGGAGCCGGGGGTCCATTCGCCACGATTGACGTCTCGCGCTTGGCACGCGTCGAGCTATGAACGAATGGTTTTGAATGGATAAAAATATACGTGTATACGTTGTTCGGATGAAGCATGTCATTTCATCGATGAAAAGGGAGATGAACCAGCCGGGCACGATAGTCACCCTCATAAATGAATGCAGCCAGAAAAAATGTAAAAAATGTCCTGCTTTCGAGTAGTGACTACAGTATTTTCAGGGACAGCAAAATGGCTGTAATAAAACTGACTCCAAAGTGACTAGTAGGATTTAGTGATGGCTCTGGGGAAGCTTCGCCACTGGATAAATTTTTGTAATAAACACTGCCATCTCGGACATGCAAAAAGTGTAGTTGTGCTGATAGGTCTATTGTAGAACGATTGTGGCAGCTTAATTAAGCAGGCAACAAAGTCCAACTTGACAACTTTGTTGATGTTTAAAACGCAAAATGCATTTGGGTACACTGTATTACCCCTATTTCTAATTTTGGGTACCTCAAGTCGAGCCCCATAGCTTTTCCCTTTGCCATTTCTTCATTTACAACACTGGTCAGCTGCAAAGATGACAGGTCCTCCGTCTCCCAAGCGCCAGCGCACCGATGACAACCATCCTGACGACAAGGTGCAGAAGGTTCTTGAGTCCGTTAAGGAGGTGGAGGAGGAGCTTGAGAAGGCGAACGTGGAGCTGGCCAAGGAGACCCTCGTCATCGAGACCAAGTACAATGCCAAGAAGCGCCCAACATACGTCAAGCGCAACAAGCTGCTGGCCGACATTCCGCACTTCTGGAAGAAAGTGGTACGCTCCGTTTCTCTTTTGGGTCGCGAGTGAGCATCGACCTGGTAAGGCTATTATCCTCACTCATTCACTTGCTCCTGCTCTTTCTCCTGCTTGTTACAACAGTTTGTGAACCACCCGCTCGTGGGCAACTACATGACCGAGGAAGACGAGATGATCATGGACTTCTTGCAGGACTTTGACATTACGTTCGTGGGCGATGACGGAAGTTTCAAGCTGGAGTTTGTAAGAACTCCAATTAAGCCGCTACTATTTCGTTTCAGCAGAAAATACTGATCGTTTGCTGTGTCTTGTCCGAATCATCAGACCTTCCAGGAGAACGAGTACTTTTCACCCACGACCTTGTGGAAGCAGGTCACGTTCTCGGTGGACGGAGAAGAAGTGGAGGTCACCGCCTCCGAGCTCACCTGGAAAGACAAGGCTGAGATGACCGAGGAGTCAGAGAGGTTCCCTTTCTTTCAGGTATGCTTGCTTGGTGCCTGTGTTTGCTTCATTGGACGTTGTGCCTAAACGAAGGGCTTGAATGTGTTTTCTTCAGTGGTTCGTCTCGACTGACGGTGATCAGGACGTTGCTGAGATAATCAAGGAGGAGATTTGGAAGAGCCCCGTGCAGTTTTACGAGATGGTACGCATTGGTCTCTGAAGGTGGAGTGATCGGTGGGCAAGCTTTCTCAGTGTTGTATTGTTAGGATGACGAAGATGAAAGTGAGGGCGAAGTCGAAGAAGGCGAGGGCGAGGAGGAGGAGGAGGAGGAGGAGGTCGACAGCGACGATAAGGAATAAATCTGCCTCTACTTACCGGACGATGGGCAGCCGCTCAGAGACGCCAACATTGCCAATAATGAATTCTCTTTTGGCTCCTCCTTTGTCGCTGTTATTGATCGTATTAATACCGTATCTGCTTCGTTCTTACATGCTCTTTGCGTGGGCGGGTTTTGAAATTGATGTGTTAGATAAACAGGAAAATACGTACATGAACACACTTCAACAACCTGCAACGCCACAAAAAGGCTAACTCTCCTTCGCGTAGTACAGTCTGTACGTCAAGGTCTAACTCTTTTCACTTAGCTCTTATACATGCTCTACGTAGTATTAAAATGGAGTCGCTTCGCAGCCTTCCGCTCCAGCAACGGCCTATAATAATAGCTACTTTTTGCAGTATCTACCTAACTTGAGTTCCATGAGTAATGCATGGTGACCTGGCTTGTAATAATCCGCGCGGACCGTAGTGCGCGTGAAGCCCTGTGACTCGTACAGCGCGATAGCACCCAGATTTCCCGTGTCCGCTTCCAGCACCAGCCTCAAAGCCCTTCGCGTTTTGGGATCAGTGTTAGTTCTGTGTAAAATCTACTCTACAACACAACGTTCTGACCTTTTCGACTGCAAAACTGTGATGGCGGCCTGGAGAAGGCGGCGCCCCACGCCCTGTCGCCGCTGGTACTCGGTCACTGCGATACGGTCGATGTGGCCCTCGGCCTGTTTACACCAAAGGGCAAAAGAGACTGCTGTTAGCAGCATGCAATAGCACCGCTTTTTGTGCGGACGAATGAACGTACACCGTTGCGCCGAAAGAGGATGTAGCCAAGAACGATAGAGTCCTGCGTGCCAACGGCCAAAACCAGCGTGTTGTGCCTATCCGTAGTAAAAAAGGCAATAACAACAGCGTTAAGGCCCTTTTGAATTCTTGGGGTTGGTCCGCGCAAAGTGAAAAACTACGGCTTCATGGCCTCCTCCACCAAACGCTGGTCGAGGCTGTCGCTCTTGGAGAAGCTTCTGGGGCAGGAAAAAAAAGAGGGGAAGCGTAAGGCACCCTGCGATGAGGCGCAATGTGGTAAAGAGAATGCTTATGTTGGAGCACTCCTGTTTGGAAACCACGCCAGCGCGAGTATCAATGGTAGATTAATCACTTATACTTTTTCTCCAGGCGCACGGCCTGTGCAAGCCACTTGGTCTGCGTCTTCTTGGTTACCTCCACCAGCTCCATCGCCGCTACCGTCCTAATTGACTACCGGTAACTTGTTGCGGTCTATCCTGGACTCTATTAGAATGAGTCCTGTACATGTACATGTAGGACCTCGATAGCAAATTTGAGTGGCTCCGATAGCCCCGCAAAACCGGGTGATCTACCAGTAAAATCTCTTTAGAATCGCTCGCAATCACCATGAATCGCCACACCATGAATCGCAACTAAAATACTACGTAGTACTTGATTATTATCACAATTCGGAGTCCACCGATATCTAATATGTACCTACCAGATGGACCCAGCATTTGTATCGACGCGTCTTGCTTTGCTCTGCCTTGCTCCAAGCTTGATACAACTATTAATACCCACGATACCATTACCGCCACCACTATCGTCAGTGAGGCGGTGTCCAACAGCTCAGTCGCAATTGGCTGCCAACTCGGCGTACCGAAGCACCGGGTGTTGCCAGATCTCGTCCATGGTGATGCGCTCTGCCGGGTCCACGCACAGCATGCGCGCCAGCAGATCCTGCATCGAATCCGACACCTCCTGGCTCAACCCCCATGCCGTGAACACAGCCTTGATGCCGCGCTTTGCCACATACCGGAAGCCCGGGTCGGACGGGTCGGCGCGCTCGAACGGCGGGGACGATGTCAAAAGGATGAAGAACGCGATGCCCACCGACCAAATGTCCGCTCGTCGCGGGTCATATCGCTCGCGCATCACGATCTCCGGTGCCATGTAGTAGTTTTTACCCACCATTTCCTCGCAGCTGAACCCGTCGCCTGTCGGATTGCCTGACGACGCCGACGCGTCCTGCACACAAAGTCCAAAATCTGCAATCACAGCATGATCGTTGCGCAGTAGAATGTTTTCGAGACTCACGTCCCGATGGGCGATGCCATGACTGTGAAGGAAGCGCAGCCCAGACAGCACGTCCAATAGGTACGTCTGCGCCACGCTCTCTTGCAGGCGCTTTGACCTATCCACACCGTTCAGGATGGATCCGTGGTTGTTGTCCTGTTCGGGGCCATGTTCGTCGAGTGCTTTTGCTGATGTTGCTACGACTACGTCCTCTTTGTGGTTACCCTGACAACTACATGTACCATTGTTGCTGCTCTTGTTGTCGCCTCTCTCGGGAGGCTGTACACATGCGTCCAGTAGATCACCACCCTCGCAGTAGTCTAAAACCATATGTAGTACGCCTCCACCTTTGGCCACGAAGTAGCTGTGCATATTAATGACATTCGGGTGTCCACCCAGCGCACGCACACGGTCCAGCACCTCCACCTCATGCATCACGTTCTCCTGCACGAGTTCATGCGAGCGCGACGTCTGCTGCAGCGCCAACTTCATGTCCACTGTCTTCACTACTACGCGCTCACCTGTGAGTTGGTCGCGGCACAGCAGGATCTCGCCGAAGATGGACGCGCGCAGTGACTCTTCCGTCTTGTAGCGACCCGTGCCCATGCCAGAAGTAGAGGCGAACTATTCTTGTTAGATTCGAAGTGATCGACGAGGGGGTTGCTTGCTGCTATTATGAGACTGTCGTCGCGCGAGGGATGTGGCAAGTGACAGCGAAGCCAAAAGATTGACCTCGAGTGGCTCGTCCAACTGTGAGTGAGGGGCAGAGTGATGTCGTCGGCCAAAGTCTAGAGAACAATAGAGCACTGCACTGCAACAAGGAGACCGAGACTGCTGCAGGCTGAAGCTGGTAGGCAAAAGGCGAGAAGCAGCTTCGAGATCGGCGATCCAGCTGGAGCGGCACAGATGTGTTTGTGCGTGTTCGGCCGCGTTATTGTCGTGTTGCTTTAGCAGGTGGGGCCGAGAAGCCAGGCGATTGTGCGCTTGGCGGTGAATCAAGGACTGGTTGATGCAGCTGGTTGGTGGCATTTGTGTTGGCTGCCGTCGTCTCATTCTCCTTCTACAGCGTGTGTCATCATCGTCCGTTACGCAGCGGTGCTTTGAGAATATCTGGAGAAAATCTTTGCAAGCTCTACGCGCTTTCAAAATGGCATTATCATCTCCTAGATCGACTCGGTGCGGAGCACTGCAAAATGTCCGTTGAACCGCAGCCATCGGCGCTAGCACTGGCTCGATGCGAAGGGCGTTACCGCAACCATCCAACGACAACACAACAAGAAATAGTGCAACCATATCTTCTAAAGCAACCTCAAAACATATGTTTGTCCTGGTATTTTATTATTTGTTGCACTACCACGTCGCCATCGTCATCAATTCAGCGATAAATTACGAGGCATAACATGCTAAAAGTCTAAAAATAGAGATATGTACACAACACTACATGCGAGTATATGTACACCATACATTTCTCACACTTCGATATACAGGCTTCACGACGATGGATAAAAGATCGCTGTCCAGCGAACTGATACGCGCACGGCGAGAAGAGCTCACGGACACAAAGCGCAAGCTGGAGGAGATCGGGGAGATACTGGAGCAAATACTGAGAGTACAGATGGAGTTAATGGCTCGAATTGAAGAGAACGAGGAAGGCCTATACGCTTTGGATTATGATTTGGACGGTGTGGGCATCGGTCAAGACGGAGTTATGTCTTTTGGAGTGCTGCTAGAGATGGCAATTAATCGGTTAAGAAATTAGTCAACGATATGTAGCTGTATTAATTGTGAATACAAATTCACATGGCTATTTTAGCTCATCCTGAAGTCTCTGATGAATTTTTGCTGCCGTGTCCGCATCTGCCTTCGCCATTCGTCGCTTGCGGGATTGTACAAGCAGTAACCACAGCATCCTCAAGCGCATTACGTCGACATCTGACTTGCTAATCTTGTAGCAATGCAGGTCTGCATTCCCTGCAATTACGCTGTGTGCATGTGCAAATACCAAGGCACCACAGCTGGAGTTACCAGGTTGTTGCGGGGCGTCCACCCACGAAACTGGGTGGATCTTCATAACACAGCCAGGATCGGATGACTCGTTCCAGCGCTCAATAAATCCTCGCAGCCCTTCCTTGTTGATACTCTTACTTCCCTCCCAAACTGTCTCCATTTCACCGTGATAGCAATTATTAATGAGAGGTTCGTACATGTGAGGTCGTGCGTGGATCTGGCCGTCTGAAACCCCAAGGTTAACAATTATAATGCCCCAATGGCTAGCGCTCAAATTGACGGGATGTACGACAAACTTTATGTCGCGAACCCGCGGTGTCGCCGGCCAGCCAATTTGCCATAAAAGCGATGACAATACGCGACAGCCCTCCGTGGATGCAGCAATTTCACTCAAGCAGAAGTCGATCGAGCTGTCCGAGAGCCACCCTCGACAAACACTTCCAATCACGTCTATGAAGCAAATGGTGACCTTGCCACACTTGGTGGCATACTCGCTGCGAAGACGGCAGTCTGAAAACTTTGAAATTACTTCGTTGGCGAGGACTTGATGTCGATTTCGAATGGCCTCTCGTGTAACACCCCAAGTTTTTGTTTCCTTTGCGAAAAGGTCAACTTCCGAGTCCACCTTAATCCAATTTCTCTCCAGCCACTTTCGACCTTCGACCCAAGACTTGGCCTTGGCCTTCACTCTGTAGAAAACCTTGCTGCATTTACATATCGACTGTAATCGAAGTAGCAACCACATTAGTAAAGCAACCCTGTATCGCAACCATAAATATAAAGCTACTTTGTATAGCAACCATAACGATAAAGCAACCGTACCTGCAGAACTTTCAGAGCTTTGAGTCGATTGTTGCAATAATGTCGAGAACAACCACCGTTCGCAAATTGTCAAAGCAGGAAGCATCTCGAATCCATGTCATTTGTGTGCTACGTGCATGAGATGCCGACACGGCAAGTGGTTGGTAGTTGAAAACAGACAGGTGCACTTCCAGTCCACGTCATCGCACTCAAGTCCTTGGTTGTGACAGTATACGTTCCATTTCGAAACCGATAATGTCTGTACACATGTTGTTTCCTCCATCAGATTCACAAATTGCTCCCATTCCCGCCTAATTGTCTCCAAAACATACGCTGATATTTTGCTCCTAACTGCTCTCAATAACGTCGGCACCGACTTAGGCCTCCGTGTACTCGAGTGCAGCTGCCCGATCTCCGAGACAATCTGCTGCGTTATAGTCATCTGGTGCTGCAGCAATCCAGCGATGGTCTGGTCAATTCTTGTTTTACGCCCGAGCAGCATCTTGAGCTGGTTCCAATTAGATTCGATCCTGTTGGTAGTTGTATTACCAGCAGTAAAATGTTTACCACGTGCAAAGTTGGACCACATGTCATTGCATGTGTTCCAGTTCTTGTCAAAATACGCAAAGAAAGCGAGTTTCTTGTTGCTTTGGCAGTACGATTGAAGGTTCTTGTAGTAAGTGTCGTATGCATCCTGCGTTGAGCTAAGATAACAATTAGTTAAGAAAGTAAGATAAGATATGTGTATCGAAAGAACCGTGTCGACATACCTGAAAAGCAGTTTCACCATCAAGGCAAGTTGCTCTTCACTCTGCGCAGTCTGAATTCCGTAGACAGACCTCTTCAATCTCCAGTAGGAGATTACGTGGAACTGGCAAATGAGAATTTTCGCGTTGGGGAAGGACTCTTCAAGTACCATTTATTCAGTAAAGTCTTTATCAATGATCACGCTCACGACTTGATCCGAACGCGAATTCTTCTCCTTGAAGTACTCCAAAATCGTGGAGATCGTCTTTGCTTGCTCATTGAGGCAAATGAAATCAACCACAGGGAAGCCACGACCCGTGCATATGGTGACAACCAAACTCCCTACAAGCAAGGAAATACATGATGATCAGCAAGGTTGCGATAGCGGGTAAGGTTGCCACAACGGTTACTGTATCAATTAAGGTTGCTACAGGGGGTTGCTATATCAGGTAAGGTTGCTGTGTCATACGTACCCAGATGATAGCCCAGGTTGTTCAGCCCATTCGTAAAGTCCATTGCCAACGTTTCATCTCACCGCTCAAACATCATCTTTTGAATTTTTGTCTGCATAACAACTCCGCACGTGACGTCAAACTGGTCTTGAATGACGAGCATATTCTTGAGACGGTCTTCACCGGAATCCTTCCCCACGATGCTACGGATAAGATTACGCGTCTGCTGTGGCGTCACTTTACAGTCTAAGAAGAAGTTGACATAATGTAAGCCAAACATCTAACGAAGCTACATCACGTAAATAGGTATATCCGTCCCAAGTCCAATCATTTAAAAAGCGGATTACGTGGGAGGACGACACACGGGCGTCAGCCAAAGTCTTAACATCCTCGCGATCGCGGTCGTCGAGCGGTAGAGAATTGGTCGTGAGGTAGGAAGAGACCTCCGTGCCGGTAGTTAGGTGTGAGTGCGTGTGGTTCTACAAAGTCAAACAAAAGTTAGAGAGTCAAACAGATAATGAGCACGCTTTCGTCACATACCTCGTTCCGAACAACAATCTTATAGGTACTGTCCACACAGCGAGAGACAACGGCGGTTAATCTTGCCTCGCAGCTACAGTAACGTGTCGACCGGTTGCGATGGCCTTTAGATCTAGAGGCCTGAGATACTCCGTGCGTGCAGCGGTAAATCCTCTGGAACCACTCGAACTCGGGAGGTATATGATCCTCATGAGTGCTACAGATACAATAACCACCTTTTAGTCTGGATATACAGCCAAAGCTAACAGCAAAACTTACCTGTTATAAAGAGCCGTTTTTTCTAAGCTCCGCACCCGAAACTTAAGCTTGTACTTCTTCTTGTATGCATCAAAGATTTTCTCAAATTCCTCCCATGAATTAATCATCTTGGCCGGCCCAAACGCTGGAACTGTATTCACGATCTTATTTTCACCTGAGTTCATTGATTGTAGCTCTGTGAGGTGCTTGCTCACGCGTTTTCTTGGCGAATATTCACCACTTGATTGCACTGATGTTTCCTGCATTTTCCGCTTAACCAAAGAAGACTGCATTGGCATATGAGGTGAAGTGCGCTTCAGCAATGTTTTAGTAGCCTTCGAATCTAGCAACAAGCAAAAATGTGAGCTTGTAAGATGCTGAATAAAGCAGCCCTTACGCATATAGCAACCATACCTGGTTTCACGTTGCCCTGTATCGTTTTGTTCTTGTTACTCTGAGCGCTTGGCTTTCCTAGATGCATGTACACCCCACACAACAGCTCAGCAAAACATGTAGTAACGTAAAGTGCAGCAAACAACCTTACCGGCAGCTGTTGTGCTTCCCTCGTTTGATTTGCCAGAGGAAAGGTTCTCATCTTCTTCCTCATCCTCCGAAATGGCCTATAACACGTAGACTTCGTCGCTGGCGTCGTCATCCTCGATCCCGAGCGCATTATACGTGATTTTCTGTTGTCCGTTGACATTTCGCGTTCTTCGGGCTTCTGTTCGCACACAAACACATACAAGTGGTAAGAACTACAACCACAGCTCTAAAGCCCGACTCATGTAGTCTACCAGCCATCGTCCTATCCTTCGCACGCTG